TTTTATCTACGTACGTTTCAGCTTTTTGTGACGCCTACACAGATTAAATGCAGCCTCCAGGAGACAGACACCAAAGCCAACATCAGAAGTCGTACTCATTAAGGCTGCAGGAAATCGCCTCTTCCTTTTTTTCTTTTTTTTTTTTTTTTCTTGTCACACGCTGAATTTAAGCTGACGGAACACAGCTGTGTGCAAAGTTCACAAAGCCATGACTCATGGCTGCAACATCAGAGCAGGTGTCTTCCATCTCCGGGGGAAAATAGCTCACGTACGGCTACATTTGTTTTCTGGTCATCTTTGGGCAGCGATGCGAACGCTGACCGCTCTCCGTCCATCCATCTATCATGTCGTGACCTTCAGCTTCATGGCCTGGTGGCCGCCTGGGGCCACAGGGAGAGTGACTAATGTTGTTTCATCCTTCACCACCACCTCCTCCTCCTCTTCCTCCTCCTCCTCCACGCTGATATCTATCCAGTATTATCTGAACCCAGAGTCTACAGATTTCTATCACCGCTCTGAGCTTTAATTATTTACGCTGCTGAATCACATGTCCCCCCCTCACCCCCCAGTCCCCCGTCTCTCAGTCTGATTTTATCTAAACCGTAGGACACTATCTTGTCCTTCTCCTATAAAGCCGTGGATCAGAGCGACTGTGACTGTATCCGCGTCTGTATCTAATGCAGGCGCTGAATAAAACAGATGCAGGTTAAGGATAAGAGAGCTGTTCTAACTTGATCTGAAAGTTTGTCTTTGGAAATTACACAGTGAGTCCCTAAGTTCTGGAGCAGGGCCAAAGGAACTGTAATATGAAACAGAAATGTATGAAGTTAGAGTTCGGAAAACTTCTGTGGAAGAATATGCTGCTCAAACGTAACTGATTCTGATTGTGGTTTGCTTTTCAATTATTTGTGCCGATAAGCTGATGAATGCCTATGGACTGACAACAGAAGCTGACCTTTGACCTGAAAACATATTCGAAGTCAAATAATGTTGCAAATGTAACCACATAACTAGGAGGAGGTCGAGCATTAGCTCACTGTAAGAAAACAAGAAAAGTGAGTCAAAAAAAGTTATTCAAATCAATCAAAACAGGTAATAAAAGTAGCTACAAAATATTTGAAAGTCATTCAAAAAACTATTAGAAAAAAGTTTGCATTTGGTTTGAGATTTCAGTCAAAAAAGACCACCTTCAGACCAGGACTCGGCTGTTGGTTTGAGATTTCAGTCAAAAAAGACAGAGCGTGTGCTCCACCTTCAGACCAGGACTCGGCCTAGCGTGGATCTTATTTCTCAGTGACAGGTGTGGGCCGGAGCGGGGGAACAGTGGTTGATTATTTTGGACGTTTTGTGAGGAGTCAGAGTGACAGAAGCATCAGGCCGATGAAGCCGATGAAGCCGTCACAGGGGACGGAGGTGTAGACGTGCTTAGGGGAGAACGGAAGATAAGCATCAGTGAGAATATGAGCGCTCAGATGCTAATCGCTCACAGGAAGTCGGGTTATAGCATTACAGGGGAAACCACAGGAGGCACAGCGACACAGAAAAAGACTGACCTTCGTGAGCTTCAGGCCTCTGCTCCTCAAACACACCGACAGAAGAAGAAAGTGTGAAGCCAGCTGAAAAAAAAGTTTCACTGTTGATCACCAGGTAGTTTTTTTTTTAATCTCTGCTGCTGTCATCAGTTTGTGTGTGGTCTTAGTCAAGAGGATATTGCAGGGGTGTTATCGAGCAAAGGGGTCTGATCTTCTTCGCACGTAGAGAATATTACGGACTTGTTAGAGCAGCGACTAAAACAAAAATGTGCTTCATTTTAGGGAAATCTGAGACTGAGAACAAAAACGTTTAATATATTTTGTACAGCTTGACTAATTTTAGTATTTAATACGTTTTTTTTCACATCATTTGGACCAAGCAAAATATATTATTATACTATATATATACTTATAATATTATATTACTATTTGTTGTAGTTAATGTCACAAAAGTCATGGAGAAGTTTTGGAAAAAACATATAATGATAGTTATGGTTTTGTGATCATAGTTTAAATTAAATGTATTTAAAAAATGATTTGTATAATGTAGTTTTCTTTTAAACAAGATTTCTCTCTTGTTTATGCACACTTTTTTTAATTCCATTTTTTTTTTTTTTTTTTTTTAATAATTTTTTTGAAGTCCAGCAGAACAGGCTGAAATCCCTTGAAATAAGAATTACCAGTAACAGTTTCACCTGCTCTGTTGTTAACTGCTGTCACTGCGACCCCGACACGCAGCCATAAAGTCGGTGTGTGGAACTGTTCTCAGTGCATCTCAGCACATTTTCTGCCTCATTTCTCCTCTCATCTGCAGACTAATGGCTCCTGTTTAATTCGACTCCTCGTATGATTTTTGGCTTTGAGTGCGTCAGCAAAGTATTTAACCATCGTTCTGATAAAACTCCACCTACAAACTCATTCGTAGCCTGACTGCAGTGAATCTGCTCATTTAACGCCAGAATTTCTGCCAACATATTGTCATATTTAGGTGGATTTTGTTTGTTTGTTTGTTTGCTGGGAAAATATGTCTGTATTCCTCAGACACTGTGTAGTCACAAGATGATTTAAAGCTGATATTAAATCTTCAGAATATAAAAAAGAAAAAATATAAAAAAAATATATGTGCTGTCAGGTTGAAAATAGTTCTTTTTACAGGAATTAATCTTCTCTTGCTTTTTTATATTATACCAGTAATATATAATTAGAAATGTGTTTCCCTAGATACTGTATTTTGTGATATGTAATATGTAAATGTATGTAAGTTCACTTTAATGCCAGTTAGAACCGAAAAAATAACTAAACTGGCTAAAAATATAAACACACTCAAATTAATGTATAATAATAATAATTATTATTATTAGTAGTAGTAGTAGTAGTAGTAGTAGTATTTTGCATATATTGTGTATAATAAGTTTTATGTTGATTTTTTTTCACATCAAAAGTGATTTTATTTATTACTTGTTAAAATGTTGTTAAAGTTTCAGATGGTTAAAGTGTTGAATAATGGAATTTAAATATATATTGAAATATGTCTTGAAAAATATTAAGGCCTGGAAATACTACCACAAACTGAAGTTTGTGTTTTCAGTTAAAAATGATTTATCTCTATCTCTATTTCTGTATGTATGTTTGAGACAAAAAAAAAGTCACAGTGCTTCTTTTCCGTACTTGAATCCTGAGTAAATGTTAGAATGTCCCTGAGTTCTTCCCTCGGACTTTCACTGAAACCAATTCCCTTGCGATTTGAGTTGGTGAAATAAAGATGCTTTCGTTTGTTTTCTTGACATGTGCTCGCCTTTCAAGAGCAGTGAATGCACTAACAACAGGAAATGATGAAAGCAAAACTTCGCGGAGTTTAAGTGCCACTAGATTTGTAGATATTTTTAAACAACAATCTCTCTCTGCGTCATTCACAACATTACAGATGCAAAACTGTCAAATCAGAGCAAATGTGGATGGGGCTCTAAAAGTCTAAAAAAAAATGAAAGCAAGAAAAAATGGGACATGTTCAACATGTCAGGCCAGTAGCCACCACACAGGAAGTGGTTGGTTTGTGCAGTACACTACCAGTGGACCACCTTACTGACTTCTGCTCATCTTCTAAGCAGGCGATTGTTACGGGACACATTCAGGTTCATCTTCTGAAGAGGTAGGAACATTTCACACACATTCGCTGTGCAGTAAAACCTAAGGTTTAAAGGTTTCGAACTTGCGTGTAGTGGCTGTTCATTTCATAGTTTTAGTCGTCTTGGATGGAATTGTACATTAAAAGTTTCTATTATGTCACAAACAACAACTTCCGAGCTCAGAGAAGCTTAAACTTAGCTTATGAACATTCAAAATCTATAGATTAAAATGAATTGTTAAGAAACCCTCAATTCTACATTACTTAAAACATAGTCATTGTATCTGCTTTTGTAGCTAACATTTAGTAATTGGTTTCACAATATTAGTTTCTGAGGGTTGTTTTTTTTTTTTGTTCTCCATCTCTTGTCTTTTTTTTTTTTCTCTTCTCTTCCCATCTCTTGTTGAGACTCAACTTTATGTGGATCAAATCTTAAATCATTTTAAACAACTTAATGCTAACTGCTAACTTCCTAACTCTTTCTTGGCTTTTTTTTTTTTTTTTTTTGCTATTTCTGGCTTACGCATTAGCATATTGCCACATACTCTTGGCTAACTTCTGGCTGTGCTAGCTGTCACTTTTTGGTTTAGGTGGGGATTATTTCTGTTACTTATTTAACAGCGTTCCCAAACTTTTTTTGTACCAGCGACCAATCAGCCAGTATCAGTCGTTACTGCCGACCTGGTAATTCGGTGCTATCATTGAAGGATCATAAAATTTTCAAAATAAAACATCTTTCAGTCTTTCTTCTGTTAGTATCAGAGTCTGAATGATCTGTTGTTTTGAAACTTTGACAGATTATCTAACTATCTTCAAAAGTAAAGGGATATGACTGGATTCTATTTGAATGACCCTAAATGACCTATGGATCAGCAGTGGTCCCCAGACCGGGGTTTTGGGACCCCTGGTCTAAGTAACCTGTAGTTGGCTTCAATTGAAGTTCAAATATTTCAGTTCAAATATAGACATTTAACACATTTAAATGAAGCATCTTAATAAGGATGCACTAAATGTATGTGATTACTTATATTTAAATGTGTTCAATTAGCAGTGGTTGATGTGGCTGCAGAGAAGTGAGACAGTGGTTGATGTGGCTGCAGAGAAGTGCTCCCGTCAGGGAGAAGATAATAAAGCTCTAATTGTGGGTTGTGTTTTTTTTTGTTTTGTTTTTTTTAAAACAACTGCCTTTTTTCTCCACGGCTGTGGCAAATGTCAGTGAAAACAGTCGTGGGTGTTTCTGGGTAAACAACGACCTCTTTATTCTGTGTGTAGGGTGAATAAGGTCAAACTGTGTAAAAGTGAAACTAATGATATTTTTCAGGTGGGTTTCATCCACACATTAGCGCCACACCGATCCAGGGAGCGTCTGTGAGTCGACTGCGATAATGGTGAGTTATTTCCCTGCTGGTTCCACATCAGCGTTCCCTCAGGGAAACTTTGGGAGATTTTACAGCGCAGTGATAATTACCTTTTAGTACAGAAACGAGCCTCGGAGCCGCCGTGTGATCTGTCATTGTTAGTGCAGAGTCACAGCCGTGCACCGCACGCTGGAAATCCTGCCTCAGTGTTTTTATTTGACTGTACAAGTGTGGCTTGAAATTTGCATCAATATTTCTTTTGTATGATATTGTTTTTTTTTACTGTAACAGGTTAAATAATCTTATCCCATCTTTTAATGCACCTATTAATACTTAATCCAAGTTTGCTACAGTCTGTTCCCTGTATATATATATATATATATATATATATATACAAGATGCTTCTGTATTTAAAATCACAAAAACAAACCTTGTCTCTTATCCCTGTTTTGTGTAGGACAAACTAAGCCTGATCATTTGTGGCATCCAAAATGTAGCTCACATTCCATAAAGAAACAGCATGGATTTTTGGTAAAAAAAAAAAGAAAATTGATCAATTTGAGCACTTTTATTCAGCACAAATTTAACAAATTTTAACAAAAAAACAAATATATGTATATATTTGTATATATGTATGTATATATGTATATTTGTATATATATGTATGTATATATGTATATTTGTATATATATGTATGTATATATGTATATTTGTATATATATGTATGTATATATGTATATTTGTATATATATGTATGTATATATGTATATTTGTATATATATGTATATATGTACAGTATATATGTATGTATGTATGTATATATATATATATATATATATATATATATTTGGTTTTTTTAAGTCGCCAAAAAACACCCGTTCTCTGCCTCCAGGAACCTCCCACTTTAAAAATTATGCTTTCTCAAACACAGAGCATCATTGAGGACCAGCAGATGTGTGCCAGACAAGTACGTCTGGTGTCAATGTATAACCTGATAGCAGATCATCTGTAGAGGGTCCCAGTCGTCCCGGTGATTTGATCCAAAGCAGTATAGAACTAGACAACTAGACTGGGTTCTTGGTCGAAAAGAGACAATCTTGACAAAAGTTGTGTGTTTTACTAGTTTGCCCTAAAGGATGTGGCCAACACTTTGGTTATCAGATGTGGAGCACGCATTTATTTCCTGTCTAATGTTCTTGGAGGTAAAGCTGCAGTTTGGCCTGACAACAAGGTTAGGTTTAATGTGTAGGACTTAACTTTAGCCAAAGAAATTAATTAATTAATTAAAAATGACAGCGACCCAATGCATCCCAGCCAAGCCCTATTCAGACTATTACACTGTTGTTACGTGGTTTCATGGTATGTAGCGGTTAGCACGCCTGCCTCGGAAGCAGAGAGCAGAGAGTCTTGGGTTCGATTCCCAGAGGAACCACATGCTTGGCGCTTGCTAGGGGCCAACTGTTAACAGCATATCTGCTGCTAACACAACAATTTCCCAAATAACCGATCAATGTAGAAAAATGTTTTATTATTTCTCAAAAGCATTGATAATTATTTGATCGATGTGGTGGATATCTCAGCCCACTTTATTCAGCACAAATTCACACAAAAAACCAAACCATGTAAAAAAATGACAGGTTAAATCTGCCCTGCGACATCGTACAGTCTGAGCTGCAGTTTGTTTGTGGTCTCACAGAAAGGCACATTCAGACAAACAAATCCAAGATCTGACCCATTTGGCGAAGAACCTGAGTATGACGTGGTGTGCGACCTGCAGGAAGTGCGGTGTGTGCAAATACTTCCTGCCAGGCCCATCAATGAAGAACCAATGTACGCAGGTACCAATGCACTTTACGCACATTTACACATTATTCACTCTGCACAACACTAATAACATTAACTTTTTTTTTTGTTTTACCATTTCTCTTTGTCTCCATGTTCAATGTTTTCCTCACTGCTTCGTACTGCAGTTTTTGTTTTTAATGCGTATACGTAGAACAAAAAATGCTACTTCTAATCTCTAATTGAAACGATGTCTGTATTTGATGACATTGTTTTATTCACTTTTTATCATCTCCAGACAGGGATGTTCCGTGGTCAGCATCAGAACAGGGCCAGAAATCCCCATCTACTGTAAGTTTCCAGCTTTTAAAAAAATAATCAATGGAAAATAATTAGAAAAAAAAAAAAAAACCTTAGCTGCTGTCTTACCTCTCTACGATCTGCCTCCTAACTTTTCTCCCTTTACCTCTAGGGTAACTCTAATATCCTGCCTCAGTGTCAACAGAGAGAACTCCTCCATTCTGTGGGTAAAGTCTGAAAACGTTCTACTGTCTTTTAATAACAACACAGAAGGTAAAATCTGAGGGTTTTTTTTCTCTTATGTAGGCGTTTAAAATCATTTAGTTCATCTAACAGGTAAAACGTGCTTTTTACATGGTTACAGTATGAACAAAAATACTTTTATTTGTTCTGTGGTGGGGTAAATGCATCCAGTGGACAGTTTGTGCGAGCATTTGTGTCAGTTCTGTCTCTGTCTCTGTCTCTGCATCTGTCTATGACTCACACTTGATACATGTACAAGATGCTTGAATGCTATATACTGCCATCTGGTCAGTGTCGTTCAACGGACGTTTGTTGCTGTTCAAGAATACCGTGCACCAGATTTGACATTAATTGGTAGTTCCATCACTATCACATTAGTTGTGTCCTTAACTTAGAACTTCAACTCTCACAAAGCAGTTTGAAAGTAGGCAACTGAAGACGTTTCGCCGCTCATCCAAGATGCTTCATCCGTTTAGAACTTTACTTTTCTTTGGGTATAATATCGACTAATGTACTTTTCTGTCAAATTCTAAGTGTAAAGTGGGACAGCATTCTTGGAGTGTGAGTCAGTGAAATAATACGCTGGTAGAGCGAGGCATTAAAATGAACTGCGGCTAAGAGAGTGGGTCTGTTTGTGACGTCACTAAACGGTTTAAACCTAATAACATTTTAAAGCATCTGTACAATTAGTAAAGTGCACTTAAAAAAGTACACAGTTTGACCCTTGATTTTTTTTTTTTTTTTTATTGTTTTTATATCACAGGTCCACCTGTAAATAGAGACACAAAGCCTGGCAGAAGAGAAAAAGCATTGGGTAATAAGAAAGAACAGACAAAACCTGAACAAATGTCATATTTCTGTATTTCTGATTTTACATATTTCTGAGCATAAACATGATCTTCATGCAACAGTACTTCAAAATAACATCTAAGATCTAATATCTTAATGGTTGTTTTTGACAGATAACACATCGGTTCATGTGAAGACAAGAGAGCAGGTAAACACACACGATGACAGGAACCTGACAGTTGTTCTGGTACTGGCCTTCCTTTCAACTGCACTTTGTTTAAACTGTCTTTACTTTTTCTCAGCATGTAAAAAGTAAAAAAAAAAACGAGGATCACAAGTACATGAATACTTCCAGACCCTGTCCACCGCCTCCGTCCTCATCAGATGAGATCACAAACAAGTCTCCACACGAGGCTTTCAGCAGAATGTAAGAACCATTGATTTAACAGCACTGCAGGGCTGAGCCTTTACCAGTTTTACCATTTTTTAAAGAAATAAAAAAATATTTACTCTAATGTTAATGTATACAATCATCGTATCAAATATAGAATTTTTAAGCAATACCACCACCTGCTGGTTTAAATAGGTGTCACTTATTTAAACCAGCAGGATGGTGGATTTCTTTGGTAATATTGTAATTTCTTTTCTTTTTTTTTTTATTTCAGCGAACGAGAGGCAACAAAGAGAGTAAGTGATCAACACAGATTTTTACGACGGGTTTTAGAGCCACAATGTGAATAAACAAAGAATAGTCGTAAATTTATGAGAAAGCCGTAAAGTTAAGGGTCAGTAGTTTGATGTGACGAAGTTTTGACAAAGTTAGTTTGGTGTTGGTAAAGTATGGTTAACACTGAAATGTTCTTTCGTTGTCCTTAAACACATCAAGTAAACTTATTACCCAAACCCCGAAATTTGTGACTTTATTTCTCGTACATTTATGGCTTTATTCCCACAAACGACTTTATACTCAAATTGATATTTCATTTATATTTTTCTTTAATCAAACAAAATCAAACTTGTTAACTTGCTAATTCTTTTTTCTTGTGATTTAATGTCTTTACATTTTCACACTCAACAGACAGGTTTTAGGCCCAACACCAAAGGTGGGTGCTAACACATGTACTGAACAGCTTCGAATGCATTTGAAGTGTAACGTTTTAACACTGTAAAATGTATTTTATTTAAGGTCGACAGAGAGCAGAAACTGTTTCCGTTCTCCACAAAACACAAAGACATTCACTGGACCTGGATTCCGTTCCTACAGAAATTACGTAAGCCTTAAATTTCTTCGAAGTTTTACTAAATGTCGTATCAGACTGTAAAATGGGTAAATAGATCTACTCCCCCGTCTTTTCTCATTTAGGTCAGATCAAAATTTGGGTACGTATCATTTCAGACCAGCACTAATGATTGGCACTGGAACCATCGTTGATATTTGATGTTGACTTTAAATATTGTTTTACTGCTATTTCTATAAATCTAAACAAAGCATTTTCTTCCTACTCTGGATTCTGATCACGTTAACCTTGTCCAAAGCAACTGTTTAATACCAAAATATAATAATAATATAAGACAAAAAGAAGGCTAACTATTTTGCTTTAAGAAAGGGTTTTCTCAAAACGTCAACACCATGAGTGGCCTCAAACCAGAAAAGACTTTGACCAGCATGAGTTTGTTCCAATGGCGAAGCTACGACAGGTAAACACACGACTCCTTGTACTGCTGCATGAAGATCTGGTTCCTGCATCAAAGTCACTGATCTCTGAACTTTTCTTGAAGACCTACTGCGAAGGACACTGGTATGTCAAGGACTGTAATCGAATTGATGCTGAACACGCCCTGCATCTGGTCAACACGGTGAGACGGGCTTGTTTTCGATTCTCGAAACCAGTACCATGAAAGTGATTTATTGTCACTGTGACACAGCACACCACTGCGCACAACGATGTGGGACCTCTGCTTTTAACCCATCACCTTAGTGAGCAGGGGGCGGCTCCAGCTGAATGCCCTGGGAACAGTGTGTGGGGACGGTGCCCTGCTCGGTGCACCGCAGTGGTGGCTGGTGGATTCGAACCTGTGACATTTCAGACGCAAGTCTGCTTACTTCACCCCCAGGCCCACTGCCACCTGAGCTTGAGACAGTATAAACGTCCCAAGCTTAGTGTATTTTTAACTGTAGGAAATTGTACTAGAAATTTGTATTTAGAACCTTGGTAGTTTTAACTAGAACTGTTTTGCTACCTCCCGAAACGAGGGACAATGACAGGAAATTAGTGAATTCATATGTTATTATAAAGAGAGACTGGCAGACGATAGTGGACCGTCTTGCTGAATGGATAGATAGATACACTTTAATAATCCCTCGGGGGAAGTTAAGAATGGCTAAGTAATAATTTAAAAAAAAACAAATCAGTAGAAAAAGACTGGTGCAATTACATCATGAGACTTAAATGAAATGACAATATATGTAATATTTCAATGCAGGATGATCAAAATCATGGCTTATATTTAGACCATAGTCATTCTGTAAAACACATCAATTCCAGGATTGACAGTAAAAATACAGGTGGATCACAGGATTAATCTTAGCTTAGCTTAGTCCTGCTTTCGTGAACTTAGGTGGCTAACAGTTGACTTTACTTTAGCTTGTGTATCTTATTACGCACAACAAGGCATTTCTCACGTTCCGCATATAAGCACTGCAGTTACTTGTACTTGCTTTTATGCATGTTTTACAATTTAATTTTGTCTTGTTTGTTAGCCTTACCTGGAAAGTCTGTGTGCTTGCTGTGAAATTTCTATTTCAAACAGGTGTACTTATTGTCTGTACTTCCTCTGTTTAGGACGGAGCGTTTCTGGTACGAGACTGTTCCATCAAAACCAACAGTGAACCTTTGGTCCTAGCAGTGTACCATGATAAAAAAGTATACAATATAAAGATCCGGTTCATTGAGAGCACCGGCAAATACGCACTGGGACAGCGATCCAATGACGTAAGTAAAAAAATCCTGCGACTTTTTATAAGAAACAGGTGTAGCCAGATGTTTGTGCTGTAGACATCAAAGGTCCACTTCATCACATTGACTTACATTTATTTTCCTCTAAATAGGATGATCATTAGGTAACTTCATTACCTCGTTTTCAAGACGTCGTGAACACAGCAATAGATGGTTTTCCGATAATCGTTATTACCCACGATGCATCGCACTGTCGGCCATGTTGTACAATAGATGGTTTTCCGATAATCGTTGTTACCCACGATGCATCGTACTGTCGGCCATGTTGTACGGCAAAATACGCGAACAGGTAGACGTAAACAATTGATAGGACAAAAAAAGACAAGAATATTATATCAGACGTAATTGTTGTATAGAGATTCAGACGCATACGAGGTCAACAAAGCTGAGTGGAAGCGGGCGGACATTGAAAATTAGCCAGACAATGTATATCATACGGTATTTATTAACACCCAAATAATACAAATAATAATTAATGTAAAAATCACAGTGACATGTTTTACTATTGATTAGATTATACGTTTTTTCCAAAATCACAAAATAATCTGTATTATTTACTTTATTAAAAAAAAGTTCAATTGTACATGAAAATACTGATGATATGGACTGTAGTCAGTTGAGGATTCACATTTGCATTGCGTACATCTGTCATGTATGCAAAGTACATTTTGATATTTTTCAATTTTATTGACATTAAACATATTGGTTAAATAAAAGTATAATGTAATAACCTGAAAAACAGTGTTCAGAACAGACTGTAATGCCCTTTTTCTTGGATCTGGGTTGAAATTAGCACGGTTAATACGTAAAAGCCATAGCATCCTTCTTTCTGTCCAAATATCACCCGTCAGCTTCCCTTGGTGACAGATCGCTTTAGGTATGTCAAAAAACGTTATCTTCTGATCTCCATTCCCAGATTGGTTAGTACAACCCCACACAACACAGGTATTTACCATTATCGGTGTTCTTTTGTGTATTTAATATCTACCTGTACATTCTGTTTGCCCTACAAGATGGTGGACTAAGGAACTGTGGGTAGTGGCGAGATGTCATCGGAAAACTATCTATATCGCATTTTCATCTTACAACTGGTGCCACTGTTGTATTAGTTTGTTGGGGTCTGTAATTTAACAATGATTGGGTGTGTTAGTCAAGGTTTTTATTTCTGCGGTCATTTCTAAGGTCAATGCCGTTGTTTCAACAGTTACCACTGGAGCTAACACCAAGTATCTCTTCCCAGATGTTTGACTCGGTAACAGACGTCATCAAGTTTCACAGCATATTCCCCATCACTCTCATCAGTGGGAAAAGTGTACGAGAAGGAAAATACCCATGTTTGTTGACATACGCGGTAACAAGGAGGGACGTCGACCAGCTCCTACAGAGACTCTAGTGTTTGTAGTTTAAACTTACTGTTTAGGCTGTGTATAAAAAAAATAATGTATTCTTTGGTTGGACAAACAAATATTTTTAGACATGAAGACGTGAAGCTGAACAATGTACATCTGATGATCTCTCATGGCATAGTGGATAAAAATAATTGACCAAATGCACTGAAAATGTACACACCAGGTACTGCAATTTCCCTAGATTAAGTTTTTTTTAACCACTCCAAAAAAAATCCCAAGTGCTTACGAAGCCAAGGTTTTAATAATAAATGTTTTTGTTTGTTTATTTAAAAAAATGATACAACTCTTAGAAAAGTGTGAACACAATGATAAACACTGTCAATATAAAACATAATCTGAAGTGAAACGAAACTAAAATGGGTAAACAAAGATATTGAACACATCAAAAATGACTGTACATTGAAAGTAACTGTAGGCAAATGTGTAGAAGTTAACAACACAAAACAACACTTTAGTGTAAGAACTCTTCCATATCCCAGTGAACAGTCTACTGTTAATATTATGGAGTTTATTGACCATATTATCTGTTGACGAAGCAAATAATTATAAAATGTAACCATAGAGCTCTGGTACTCCATATGTTTTTCCAGTTTGTACAGTCGTACACTGGTCTGTTGCTGTACTAATGCTGCTGCTTCTACTGCTTTGATGAAAGAGAGCGCAGCTGCAAAGACTCTATGCAAAAAGGTGCAGATTTATTTTTAAATATTTCCGTGTTGTATTTTGGACGTATTTGAATGCTTTTTAATATTCTCAATCCAGAATATCTGTATATATATTTTTTAAGACTAGTACAACACAGTCCATGCTTACAATAAAAAAACGACATTTTTTTTAATTCAAGACATAAACTTGGATAATTTTTAGGTATTCACACTTACTGTCAAAATGCAGTCATATATTTAAAATTGGCAATTTAAACTCTTTCTAGAAGTTGTTGATTTATTAAACTACTCAACACTCTATCGCCAGGTCTTAAAAAAATAAGTAAGTTTAAGTTGAAGATTGGATGTAGGCTTGTAAAGCCAGTTTGGTTGAAAATCATAGTCCTGATTGCTTAAGTTGACGGTAGGAATTTTAAAAAAAAAGTAGTTACAAAAAGTAATTAAAATTAAAAAAGAAAATTTACAGCGGTACAAAAAGAACTGTTAAGCCTGCTTGCTAAACGCAAAACAACACAGAAATACTGGACTTTTGTATTCCCTTGAGTGGTAATACCTAATACGTGTACTGAAGGAATGCACATGGGTTTTTTTTTTATCACAAGTTTTTACAAATTCCCAAGGTAAAGACTCAATGTCTCCTAGCATTCTTTGACCCACGGCATACATTTTACATTTGAAAAGATGCACAACACACCAAACGAATGTCCCAAAAAGTAAACTAATGAAATACAATAATCAGCTAGTTCTAATGTACTGAATGTACTTACTCTGTGTAAAATGTGGGATTGTTTGGTTAAACACAACACTGATGTAATGGCAGGATTTGAAGAAACACACATGAAGATCTTTAACAGCTCTGGCTCTCTCGCTCTTTTTCTTAGTTTTTAGGTCATCTGCTGCCATCTAGTGGTGGAGTATTTATTTGTTTTGTTTTATCACTGTTGCATTGACCAATGCAGGTAAATTAATAATAGTTTTAAGTCCAATTAAGTGAAACTTGATAATTTCCTACAAGGTTGCTGGTTGTAGACAAAACATCTAAATTGCACAAAAATTGTAAATTTTGAAGAAGGGGTCCCCAACTACCAGGCATGTACTGACCCACGAATCACTTAGAGATGGACTGTGACATGTTTTTTGGAAAAACATGTCACTGTTCATTCCACTCCTTCAGTGCTTGACTAATCTGCAGTCAATTTTTCATCCGGCACCTTTGACATTACAAAACAAATAGTAAAGGAATAAAAATAGTTAAGGAATTCCATGGAAATCTGGTATATGTGTAGAAACTTTAAGACATGTTAGTGTTATTTACTTGTTGGAGTGGATTGGACTTCAAGTTTCTTTGTAGTGATTTATTAACAATGTTGCTAACAAGGAGGGAATGAGCATCAACTAAGGATTTATTGATAAGGTCATTCACATTATATATGTAATAAATAAAATATATTTGGTCATGTATGTGATCTTCCCTCACACACACACCTGTCGTTGGGCCGTAGAATCAAAAAGGTTGGGGTAGAAAAAATATAGAAACATAGTTTAGTAGTTAACTGCAACTCCATGGCTTCGTCTATTTTGACCAACTGTACAGGGGTTAAAATCAAATTAAATAATGAAAACCAAAGAATAACCATATTACATAGACGGTATGTTTACCTCCATTAATTTTAATCTTGTAGACTTGCTGGTATTTCGCACTTTGAAACACTTGAAATGACACATGAAATGCGAACTCAACAGAAGGGCTCTTCAAAGAGGGCCTATGTAGTCACAACTACAGACACCTATAGCAAAAACGACCGAACACTCCCAATTTCAGAATACCAATGAATTGACATCCTCTGTTGTCCAAAATGTTCATGGTAAGTTTCGAACAGTGCAACCCTTCACCTCATATTTCTGCCCCATCACTTTGCCCAGCCTCATTTTTAGAATTTGGCACTTTGGAACCACAAAAGAGGAGTCAGTGGTTCTGATGGTGTCTGTCCGGGATACCTGCTCAGGTGCCCGGGGCTTTGGGTGGTTGAGCACCACCACAGGTTGGTCCGGTCCTGGTCTTTTCACCAGTTGATCCACTTTAAGTGGCATCAGAGAAAGAGCTTCACAATCAGTCACAGTGGCCATAAAGTTCCGTGTGTTACTTTTCTCCCACACTGCCACCTCTACCCTCTTTAGTGAGACGGTGAGAAACTTTGAAGAAATGCCAGACTCATATTTTACAAATTGCTGTAGACCATCTGTACATACAGACACGTCCACTAGCTCAACTGTTTTTGGGCTAGATTTTTTTTTATCACAAGTTTTTACAAATTCCCAAGGTAAAGACTCAATGTCTCCTAGCATTCTTTGACCCACGGCATACATTTTACATTTGAAAAGATGCACAACACACCAAACGAATGTCCCAAAAAGTAAACTAATGAAATACAATAATCAGCTAGTTCTAATGTACTGAATGTACTTACTCTGTGTAAAATGTGGGATTGTTTGGTTAAACACAACACTGATGTAATGGCAGGATTTGAAGAAACACACATGAAGATCTTTAACAGCTCTGGCTCTCTCGCTCTTTTTCTTAGTTTTTAGGTCATCTGCTGCCATCTAGTGGTAGAGTATTTATTTGTTTTGTTTTATCACTGTTGCATTGACCAATGCAGGTAAATTAATAATAGTTTTAAGTCCAATTAAGTGAAACTTGATAATTTCCTACAAGGTTGCTGGTTGTAGACAAAACATCTAAATTGCACAAAAATTGTAAATTTTGAAGAAGGGGTCCCCAACTACCAGGCATGTACTGACCCACGAATCACTTAGAGATGGACTGTGACATGTTTTTTGGAAAAACATGTCACTGTTCATTCCACTCCTTCAGTGCTTGACTAATCTGCAGTCAATTTTTCATCCGGCACCTTTGACATTACAAAACAAATAGTAAAGGAATAAAAATAGTTAAGGAATTCCATGGAAATCTGGTATATGTGTAGAAACTTTAAGACATGTTAGTGTTATTTACTTGTTGGAGTGGATTGGACTTCAAGTTTCTTTGTAGTGATTTATTAACAATGTTGCTAACAAGGAGGGAATGAGCATCAACTAAGGATTTATTGATAAGGTCATTCACATTATATATGTAATAAATAAAATATATTTGGTCATGTATGTGATCTTCCCTCACACACACACCTGTCGTTGGGCCGTAGAATCAAAAAGGTTGGGGTAGAAAAAATATAGAAACATAGTTTAGTAGTTAACTGCAACTCCATGGCTTCGTCTATTTTGACCAACTGTACAGGGGTTAAAATCAAATTAAATAATGAAAACCAAAGAATAACCATATTACATAGACGGTATGTTTACCTCCATTAATTTTAATCTTGTAGAGTTGCTGGTATTTCGCACTTTGAAACACTTGAAATGACACATGAAATGCGAACTCAACAGAAGGGCTCTTCAAAGAGGGCCTATGTAGTCACAACTACAGACACCTATAGCAAAAACGACCGAACACTCCCAATTTCGTAATACCAATGAATTGACATCCTCTGTTGTCCAAAATGTTCATGGTAAGTTTCGAACAGTGCAACCCTTCACCTCATATTTCTGCCCCATCACTTTGCCCAGCCTCATTTTTAGAATTTGGCACTTTGGAACCACAAAAGAGGAGTCAGTGGTTCTGATGGTGTCTGTCCGGGATACCTGCTCAGGTGCCCGGGGCTTTGGGTGGTTGAGCACCACCACAGGTTGGTCCGGTCCTGGTCTTTTCACCAGTTGATCCACTTTAAGTGGCATCAGAGAAAGAGCTTCACAATCAGTCACAGTGGCCATAAAGTTCCGTGTGTTACTTTTCTCCCACACTGCCACCTCTACCCTCTTTAGTGAGACGGTGAGAAACTTTGAAGAAATGCCAGACTCATATTTTACAAATTGCTGTAGACCATCTGTACATACAGACACGTCCACTAGCTCAACTGTTTTTGGGCTAGATTCCGGTTCTGCCTTTTTATTTAAAGGAGGGTTGGAAAAGCATTTAGGCTCACTGTCCGTTTGAGAGTTTTGAGAGTTTCTTTTCTCTTCTTTAATATGGGCGTTTTGATCCATCAGCGGTTTATCTTGCTGGATATTGGTATCCTTTTTCTCTTCTTTGACAAAGTCAACTAATCCTTCTGTTGATAATGGTTTGCAGATGTTGGGTTCTTCTTTTAAAGAAATCTGAGGCAACCTGGGTGTTGGTGCCTCCAATGACTTCTCTGTACCATTTATTGATTTCACGTGATCTTCAGAGGAAACATCCGAACTTTTGTTCATCACCATGCCACACAGAGACGTCACCAGTGGCTGGTTTGGCTGTTGACTACTGAGTGAAAACACAGAGGAAATGACTGGAAAACTCTCTGGTTCTTTTTTGTCTCCTCCACCTGCTCTGTCCTCAGACTTGATAGTAGGCCTCCAACCAGAACCATTTTTATTTACACAATCGGCTACATCAGTTTTGGCCAATAGTTGGGTTAGAGTCTTAAATTCAGGAAAAGACTGATTTTCCACCCCACTGTTCTTGCTCACTGAAACTAATGGGTGTCTGACTTGGGCAGAGGGACTAGTTGAAGGAACAGACAAGGAGAGAGGAGTTGATTTTAGAGTTTGCTGACTCAATTCTGCTGCATCTTTGATGAATTCTGAATCAGTCCTCTTCCTGAATTTGACAATTTCAGGATCCTTCCTCGTAGCACTGCTGTTTGCATCACGTTCACTCTGCAGCGGGACACTCTGAGATGGCTGTGAAAGTAATGATTTCTTCTCCTGCTCTGCTCTCACAGGGGGACAAATACTTGTCTCCCTTTTGTCTGCATGCACTGTTTGGTTTAGCCTGTTGAAGCTGACTGAGGACAGAGCTGCTTTTAGATGTGTATGTTCACCAGGTGCATCAAGGCCCACACTGGCTCTCCCTCTTTTAGATTTAATTTGAATCTTGGTGTTCTTGCTTGGAACTGGAGAATCCAACTCAATGACATATGGTAATGCTCTTTTATGTCCACTTCTTTCCGTGTTTACTTGATTTGGGAACCTTTTGAAAATGCTGACCGGAACAGCAGCATGACGCTCCACGTTTAACGTTTGAGTTTCACACAGTTGCCTGTTGCTTGATCCGAGACCCCCAGATTTCACCGCAGATATCTGAGGACCTAACGTGGATGTGATCGGCTTTTCCAGTAAAGTGCTCTGAGGAACGGTATTCTTTGAGTCTTTAATTGCAGACTTTTCTTGTTTAGAGACAAATCTCAGTTTTAGCTCCTTTGTTCCATTCACTGTTTTTACCTCCACAAGCTCAACTGTACAACCAGAAGGGATCGTTACGTCATCCGGAAGGGAAACTGTTAAAGCTCTGCTCTGCTGTGTATGTACATTCACAAGGGACAAATGATCCAAGTCTCCATCGGTGGAATAGGATACATTAGCAGTCACTGTCTTTATTGTTGGCTTATCTTGAAGGCCAACTACAGGTTCTCTCTGTAGGGGAACTGTGACTCGAACACCAGGTCGAAGTGGTGATGAATCCGCAGAGGACACATTCGGTAAGGCACTGGAGACTGGGGCATGAGTGATTTTGGCAATGTCTGGCTTGGTAGATAGCGCGCTGACATTTTTATGAAGGCGTTCGATGTGCTTCATCAGAAACTGCCTCCTTATGTAACCCTGTCCACAGTAAGGGCATTTGTATGGATAGCTGGATGTATGTTGCTTTAGGTGTGCATGTAGCTCTGATTCACTGAAAGACACCTTGTTACAGTAAAAACAGTAAAATTTTGGGCCTGCGTGTTCCGAAAGATGTTTGTCAAATGTTGTAGCGTCTTTTGAAGCAAATCCACATTTTCCACAGAACTTTACACTGGACTCACTCAAAACGCGATCCAGCAGTGGGTTATATTGGCCACAACTTTGATACTTCATGGGTTTCATTGCGAGAGCTGCCACGTGTTGGTCATTGGGGTGCAACTGATGCAAAGCCTGCAGTCACATAGTGAGGGTAACAGCCATCCTTGCTTGACCTCCACTTTTGGATGCTAAGACCGAAGTGAGGAGACTGTTGGAAGTAAGCAAAGCAAAAAATGTTATCACGTATGCAATTGCAGATCAGTAACAATGTAACATAACTTGACAAATAAAGAAGACGACTTCCAGAATGGATCAATCGCAGCACGGGTTAACAACGACCGCATACATACCATACCGTTAACCAACCAGTGCCAGTGGAAGTTGAACTACTATTGGTTAAAGACCATCAAATAAGAGACCAGGACAATGTGACGATAAAGAGAACTGAAAAGGCCGTGAGCGTGGAAGTCAGAGTAGGACTTTTGAGAAAGGGACAATAACTGGTAAAAGCAGAGACCGGAATAAAGATGCACATCATGTACATGAGAGGCTGTCTGAAAGAGGTCAAAGATCGTAAAGTGGTGCCAGGGGGAAGTGGGGCAAAGCAGCAATGGATGGTTGTGTTTAAAGTGAAGGTGGAAACAAGGAAGAGAAAGACGGTTAAGGCATAAATGGAGATTAAATGGCAGAAATTAAGAAAGGAGACGTATTGCAGAGAGTTAGAGTGGAGTTGCTCTCGGTGATAGAGGTGAACTACCAGAAGACTGGTAAAGGGACAGCTAGAGTGGTGAGGGAAACTGGGAGAAAGGTGTTAGGTGTTACGACAAGAAAATCAACTAGCACTATCAGGGGGCAGCTTTAAGCACCTGGGGAGCAGTGTCAGTGACGCGCTCAGTGCACCTCATCGGTAATCTTGGCAGCTGGTGGACTTGGACCTGAAACCTTTCGAACCCAAGTCCACCTCCTTAACCATCAAGCCAACACTCCCACCAAGTACTGGCTGCAGTGGCAGTTCGAAAAGACTTAAATTTACAACTGAGGTGCTCGGAGCACGGCACTGTGCCCCCCACTCACTGCTCCCCTGCTCACTTTGATTATGGGTTTAATAAAAGCAGAAGTCACATTTTATTGTGGTGTGCTTTCACATTGATACTAAGTAGTTGACTTTTCTTCCTTCCTTCCTTCCTTTTCCTTCCTTTCCTTTCCGCACGACCACAGTTGACAACGTTATTAGAATAATTTATTTTTTAAACAAATTAAGATTAAATTTATGAATGTAATTCCAACCCCATCTAACTACCCAGCGTTAGGTGGCGTTAACTGAATAATGATACGAAAACTGCTGCGGGCCCAGAAGCGCTCCCTTCCCCATATACACACATATATGGGTAATTTGGCTGCATTTCTTGCGTGTGGTCATTCCAATTAACTACTAATGGAGAAATGGAGAAACGCAAAGCAGCACAAATATAAACACAAATTTCATCAGGCCTCCTTATTAGCCACATTACATACGGTTGTTATGATTTAAGAAGGTAAAGGCCCGTCCAGACGAAAACTATGAGTCAAAAGACAAGCGCCTCGCTTTCCTACATAAATCTCTGTCGTAAGAAAACGTTATAGATTCTTACCTGGGTGATGTGTGATGTCGGTATTTACAGTATTACAGCATTCTGCACCATTCCAGAGGTAAACATTGACGTGAACACTGTCGCCGAGCCGTTATTCTGTTAGCTTCAAAATGAGCCCCTGCGCTACAATTTCCGGAAAATAGATACGCGTCTTCAAAATAAAAGACATCAACTGAACATACTGTAAAAAATAAAAATATAAGTTTTATTTTTAAGAAGAACTAAAAATCGGACGGAGTAAATTTCTTCTTACGGATCTTTGCCTGTACTGTACTTAAATACGCTGCTGTTCCAATTGGAGTGCGAAATAAAACTAAATGTAAATATTGCGAGTGGGATTTATTTTGCCATACCTTTGGCCGACAGTTGTGCCCAACTAAAGTGGGCGGTTCTTGTTATTATCAGGGACAGTATACCACTGCTGAACTGCTGTAATTCATATTTATACTTTCGTAGTAGTAGTAATGGGATTGTTGTTTTTATTTCCTTCCTTAAAATGAAATTATGCAAAAAGTGTACAGAAATTCGTTTAATTTACAGATGGCAAAGGTTCCAGACATCCAGACTTCTTGATAAATTTTTATGCCTACAAAAAGTCAAATTTCCCGCTGTGTGCAGGAACAGCAAAGGTAGAACCAAACTCCCTGGCAGTGTCAGCAATATTCCGAAATTCAGTAGTAAGCAAACTTCTCGGGACGTCATCATTATCTTAAGCAAACTGAAACTTAAGGAAAATAAACACAGGTTCTTAACACTTGTGTTCCCAGGATGAACTTGCTAATGCTTGAAGCGTTTAGCTTTGAGCGATCAACAACCTCTCGTTCTTGAACTGCCTCACCAGGCTTTGGACTCTTCAAGACATGGAGGATGGAAATGTAGCAGCCGAGCACAAAGACGATGGACATGCTGAGGTTGAAAATTAGCGAGTTTAAGGATAAGGCAATATTTCCATCAAACTTGTCAGACAGTGGAATAAGATTTGTCCGGGAAAGAAGAAAGAGAAAACCAAAGGATCTTGGGAATAAGAGCACTCATGTTGATGCCGCAGCTGTAAATGATCAGTCCAAAAACCTTTAGCATTTCCATCACTGCTAGGTTGAAGGTTACAACGTTAGAGTGGCCCACCGATGTCTCACATTTGGCTAGCAACCAGATAGACATGGTAATTTACCCAGGTCAGCTTGCCCTGTTCTTGCCTGTGCCTGGCTTCCTGTTATTCTTGGCAGTTCCTGTTATTCTGAGTTGGCCATGACAAATTATTTTACCATATTTCTCCACCATACACTCGGTGTGACCGGACCACAGAGTAACAGACAGCCATTCTGCACATTCCACATGTGCAGCAGAGGGTGAAGACAATATAGACTATAGAGGAGGTTAGTTAAAAGAAAATCCACCACCACATCAAACGTGTTTGTCTGTCTGTTGTAGGAATATTACTGCTCTGCTATAACTCAACAGGTCCATATATGGTGACTCGGAAGGTTTAATTAAACGAATGCTTATCAGCAAAAAACAGTTAACCACCTGCTTTGGACACCCCAGACATGTGTGTGGGTTGTTTCCACACACTGAATTATTGTGTCCACGAAGTGTTTTTACTTTTCTTATGATATATGCATATTCCCTGTTTTAAACTATGTGGGAACTTTGTATGAAATACTGTTTCTGTCTGAAATGGTATGTGACTCCTATGGTTGCCATGGTAACGCAACTGCAGGGGAACTTCGTTGAGAGAAAACCCACTCCTACATCAAACTTGTTTGTATGTCTGTATAAATTCAGAAGTCTCGGAACAGTTGGTGAGTCAGCGCTCCTGGCATAGGTCCTGAGAAACCGTCAGGCTACCAGATCGGCACTAACTCCAGGGAAAGGTCTCTGTAAGTTCGTTTTTATACATTGTTTCGAATGTACTCTCTTACACTCTCTTGCTTGTTCTTGCTCTCTTTGTAATAAAAACACAGTTTGACAAGGAACTGCGCCTCGACGTTCCTGTCTTTGACTTTGGATCAAAAGAACATCCACTACACTGTATAAATTCAGAGGACCAGGGAAAAGTTAGCTGAACATTGCAGTGACAACAGTCAGTGACAACAGTCAGTGACCCCAACGTGATTCAGATTCAGACAGGTCCGAACAGGCAGTGAGCCAGATTCGGCTGTATAGGAGGTTTGACTGCCTGGAGCACGGTGCCTGCCCAAACTAAAAGGTAAGCAGTAAGCTTTTCTGACATACAGAAAATACTGCAAATTGAACACTGAAAAAAACTTTCTCCCTGCAAAAAAATGATCGATAATTATTCTTGCAGGTTAGAGTTCCTAGGTTGAAGTCCCTAAACTTTTTTGGTTCATTTTATTTGCTTATGTCTACCGTGTTTTTCTCTTCTTTTTTTTTTTTTTCTTTCTTCTTTTTTTTTTGAAGGAATTTGGGGAATTGTGTGGGAGGATTGCTGTGTTACAGTAAAATTGAAGGAAGCTACTGTCTTTTTGCTTAACACGCTTCTGTGGGAAATCTGGGAGGTGTAATTCTGTCACTGTTTTATCAAAAGAAGGAGACGCTGCTGACATTTTGAGGTATAAATGTTAAACATATTTAATAATGTTAACAGCAAAGCCATGTTAAATAGCTTTAACATTATAGTGACATCATGTGCCACTGAGTTGAAAAACTCTGTAGAAGCTTTCTCAACTGAGAAGTCACTAGCTGACAGAGACCACTTCCGGCAAAGGCAGTGAAGTGCCAAGTATTTTATGTGTTGGTAGTTAATTCTCTGAGTGACAAGTGACTCCCCTTGACGGGGCCGAACCAGACACGGTAAGGATTAGTCAGGTTTGTTCTGTAGGACATAGGTCTAAACCTTGGGGAAGATTGGGTCCCCCTAAAAGACGCAAAAATGGAAAGAGAATATAACAGAGAAATGATTGGGAATAATGGTCATGGGGAAACTATAGATGAACAAGAAAAGAACCGCAAACTGGCCATGAAGGACATGACGAGACAGTACGTTGAAATGGAGCAGTAGCAGAAAAGGTCAGGGACAGAGAGGATTGGATTTGAAGGGATAATCTGTGCGTATGAGTTGGTTGTGGTGGACAGTATAAAAATTTTACACGGATGGTTGTTGTTGGAAGGATGAAAAATGGGAATTTAAGGGCTGCATGGGCAGTAGCGGAACAGTAGAAGGGAGAGTGTGTAATGAAAGCTAGTGGAGTGTTGACACAGAATCCATCTGCGCAGGCCGCAGAGGTGGTGGCATTATTAGAGGCATTAAACTGAGCAGCAGGAAAAATGGTGACTGTATATTCGGTCTTGGCATATGCAGTAGGAGTGACTTTGGAAGTCATTATCCAGGCACAAGAAGAAATAGGGGACTAAGAAAAGTACTTTGGGAAGCTTGGGGAGCAGAGAGGGACTCGCCGAAAACTTGGCGGTGCCCAGATGGGCGAGTAGTGCTACCAGACGGGGGCTTAAGGGACTCCGAGACTCCTAAGGGGCTCACGGCATGCACCATGCAGGTCAAAGACAAACATTGGATCATCTAAATTGCTGGTGGCACCCAAAAATGAAACAGATAGTAACAAAATATTGTGAGATGTGTAAGGTTTGTAGGGAGTTTAACCCCCGACCAACAACCAAGGCAAGCCGTGAATGTTTTCCGAATCGATCCATGGCCAGGCCAAGAGATTGTGATGGACTACACTCACGGTTGATCCCAGTAGAAAGTAAGAGATACCCTTTGGTGGTAGAGGACTCATACACAGTGTTAAGATATTACAGATAATAGCACGGCTACTAAGTAACTAATAAAAGATTAATAAACAACTGTAAATAGAATTTATAGTTAGTTACCAAAGTGTGTTAAACCAAAGTGTGGTGAACCATAAACTGTTATCTAAGTGTGTTAAATAATGGTCTGCTTGACAGGAGTAGGTAC